GGAGGGGGCACGTTCCCACTGCCAACGCTGGCGGCGGTGTCTACAGGACCTCATCACGCCCCCCGACAGGGCCATCCCCACCGGTGCCACCATCGGCGGCGTCTGTGGGAGCTCGCCAGCTCCGGCCCTGCCACCAACGGTGGCATCTGTGGCAGCTAGCCAGCTCCAGCCCTGCTGTCGACACCGCCAGTGGCGTCTGCGAATGCTCACCAGCTCTGCCACTGCCACCGGTGGTTTCTGTGGGTACCCCCCAAGACTCAGGAGGCACCAGTCGCCTGTGGTTCTAAAGATAGTAGTACAGAACGATTCAATACTAGTTTGAAACATTCAGTTCCTGCACATATACAATTTGTCTACATATGCCCATTTTTCAAAGTTAAACACATTGCATGTTTTCTAGCGTTGTTTTCTAAATAAATCAAAAAATTAAAAGTAATAGCACTGTTTTTCCTTAAAAAAAATCCCAGCAGTATAAATAATAGCTGATAATGGAAGATTCAACATAATCTTGAATTATCATGGCAGCAATGTGCATTGCAGTATCTTCTGCCACTATTATTTGTTGTGTGCTAGTCTCATGCTTCAAATAAAATGCCAGAAAAACAAGTTTACCAAGGTGTCATCTGACAAAGAGTTAGTACAGATCATAAAATAGTTAAGTAAGAAAGATGAAGATGGCAAATTTGCAAACAAAGACCACATATCTGTGTAATGTATACATTCAAACAACATTTCATGAGCTCACCAATTACATTAAATGAGGACTATAATCTGTGTGCAATTACAGTAGAACCATTAGACAAGAAATTAGGAGCAATAACAGCATATTTAAAGCATTATTTATCATTATGGAGTGAGAACTTTTGGGTGAATCATTTGTAATGCAGATCTACAAAACGTCTTTCTCTCACGCCTATATTTATCTTGGTACCTTTATTGCAAGGCTAATAGAACAGCACCATTAGCCTTGCAATATAAGAAAGGGAGAAAGGAGGACCCAGGAATCTATAGGCCCATAAACCTCACATCTGTCTTGGGGAAAATCCTTGAAAAAATTATCAAGGAGCACATCTGTGAGGGGCCAGAAGGGGAGATCATGCACAGGGGAAATCAACATGAGTTCAAAGGCAGGTCCTGCCAGACCAACCTGATGGCCTTTAATGACCAGGTAACTAAATCTCTGGATGATGGTGTCACCGTGGATGTAGTCTTTCTAGACTTTAAGAAGGCCTTTGACACTCTCTCTCACCCCATTCTCACTAATAAACTGAGCGACTGTGGCACTGACGCCTTCACAGTTGGATGGGTCAAAAATTGGCTGATAGGGTGCACCCAGAGACTGGTGGTGGACGGGTCGTACTCGACCTGGTGGGATGCAAATAGTGGGGTCCCCCAAGGCTCGGTCCTGGGGCCTACACTGTTCAACATCTTCATCAGTGAAGATGAGGGGGTGGAAAACACGTTGTCCAAGTTTCCCAATGACACCAAGATGTGGGGAGAGGTAGGCATGCTTGAAAGGAGAGGGAAGCTGCAATTAGACTTAGACAGACTACAGAAGCGGGTGGATGGTAATACGATGGGCTTCAATGTAGATAAATGCAGGGCGCTGCACCTGGGGAGAAGGAATCCACAGCATACATACAAGCTGGGGAGCTCCCCCCTTGAGACCACAGAGGTGGAAAGGGATATTGGAGTCATTATTGACTCCAAGATGAACATGAGCCACCAATGCCAGACCACAGCCAGCAAAGCCAACCGCACCTTGTTGTGCATCCAAAGATGCATTTTAAGCCGGTCCAGAGAGGTGATACTCCCCCCTCTACGCGACATTGGTCCAGCCTCAATTGGGGTACTGCATCCAGTTCTGGGCACAGCACTTTAAGGAGGATGTGGCCTGCCTTGAGAGGGTTCAGAGGAGGGCCACCCGCTTGGTTGGAGGGCAACAGGGCAGGCCCTATGAGGAGAGACTGAGGGACCTAAACCTGTTCAGCCTCAGCAAATAGAGGCTGAGGGGGGATTTAGTGGCTGCCTACAAACTTGTTAGGGGAGATCAGCAGCAAATAAGAAGGGTCCTATTCCCCCCAGCAGCACCTGGGGTGACGAGGAACAATGGCCAGAAGCTGTTGGAGAATAGGTTCAGGTTAGAGATTAGGAGGCACTATTTCACTGTCAGGGTAGCTAGGATCTGGAACCAACTTTCTAGGGAAGTGGTCCTCGCTCCTACCTTGGGTAAATTTAAAAAGAGGTTGGATAAACAGCTGTATGGGGTCATGTGATCCCAGCGTGTGCTCCAACCAGTGGTGGGGAGTTAGACTGGATGATCTATTCAGGTCCCTTCTGATCCCAAACTACTATGAAACTATGAATTATATTCCTAGTTCCAATTCAGAGTTTACAAACACAGTCAGATATTATCCAAGGCAAAGATTCTCTAGGATTCATGGAATTCAAATGAAGACTTCAGATTGAAATGGACATGCTCTGAGCAATGCAGCACTGCCTAGCAAGGGTTAAACAATCATCATGGATAGGAGACAACTGGTGTCATCTAGCATACTACAAGTTTCCCAAAGTTAGTCCTTCAGTTCCACACTGTATGCCTGCACACAATACCTGTCCAGGATCATTGTACCACAGCTCCTCGTGAAGACGATCTGGGTGAGCTTTTTTGCGCTTAATTTCTGCGATGACATCAAAAACTTCAGAATCTGAGCTGCTGGAACAGCTGCTGTCATCTTCAGAGTCACAGTCTGAGTCACTGGAGCTCTCTGATTTATAAGAAAATACAGCTAAGCTTAAGAAAATATCAACTCATTTCCTCTCCCTCTCCCGGAGCAATGAATTTTCTCAACATCCCAGCACGTAGCATATAGCCGTGCAAGTTATTAAGACTTTCATGACATTCAAAATGACCCTCTGGAGTACTGAGACAGCAATTATGTTTTTCATAAAGAGACATAGCAAATACTAAATGCGAATGCCTGCACCAATTGCATCTGCTTACAAATATCTAAGCAGAATATTGGGTAGGTAGCCAAACCCCCTTTTCACTGTTTTTCCTCTCCATTCTCTCTCTTTTATCCCTTTCTCTTTATGTTCCTTCACTGAAGCTATTCTATTTTTTTTTCAGGGTAAAGGAAGAACACTGGGAAAAAAGGGTAATAAACAACAGAAAAAGATCTGAGTATACATAGCAGTTGATGAACCTTTTCTGGACTATCTCTGGACTAGTCTTAATCCAGATATATAATTTATGTACCTCTTCTACTGAAAAACAGAAATTAACTCTGTATCTCTAATGCTCTGCATCAGCAAGCACTTGAACATAATGCCTATGTTTATGTGTCTGAGTCGATTCACTGACTTCAACAGAACTGCTCAAAGACAGAGTTACACAGAAGAAAATGCTTGAAAGACCAGGACTTGTTTCTGTACTTAATGGAAATATCTTTTTAAAGAATGTATTTAATGTTTTTGGTAGATGCAAGTTAAATGATTTTCTGAGTCTGCAAACCAACTATGCAAAATCATGATGGCTCCAGGAACTTTGCGACTATATTGGAGAACTGGAGGCAAGAGCTACAGACTAGCTCAGAATTAAAATAACCTAATGACAGACTTCTAAGAATTCATGGAGTACAATTTGTTTTTCACTATTTGGTGATAGTCTTAGAGTTTGTCAGAAACTCATTGTCATTTAAAAAAATAATAGTAATTCAACTGCTGTGTGAAGAGAAAACAGGAGAAAGAGACAGCATTTGCTGAAGTAGGAATTTAGATCTGATACTCAAAAATAAAATCAGTCTGACTGTAGAACAAGCCTGCATTGATACAAAGAGTTAGCCTGAGAGGCAACAAACTGCCAACCCCATTGCTGCAAGGAACAGGGGTAGAGCATTAAAGCTATATTGTTCTCGGCCTAAATTAGCCTTTACAGTGGAACAATTATTGGAGCCACTCTCAACTCTTCAAGCAACTCAACCTGTATACCACGTATTATGAGTCCGGTAGCCCTTCCTCCTCCTAGCTACTACAGCCTTTCATGACACCAAGGGAATACACAGATGCCTTCATGAACCCATCCAACTGCAGAGGATAAAAGGATGTTCAGGGACCACTGTTCTTGGGTTAAAATTTAAGCTATATGATTTTATGCCACCACCATTTCATTTGTTCTTTTATGCTACATGAAGTAATTAAAAAAATAAAAATTAATATAATTTGTCAGTATAAATTAAATTTATTGGATTTTATATCTAGATAGCGATAGGTTCATTCAATAGATACGAATGATCAACCTCAGGTTTGAGAATTTTCAGTTGCTTGCATAAACTGAAATTTTAGTTGCTTGGATAAACTGAACTTGAATGAAAAACACTGAACCTAAGATTATCATGTTATGTGGGTGAACCCTCTATTTAACAGTAATGTTGAGAAACATTCCAATTTACTACAATTTGATAAGTAACAACCGAGGGCCTGATACTGTTTCCACAGAAGTGAACATTACCTGAAGCAAATGCACACATCTGTCACTGATATCAAAGGAAGGAGGACAGGATTCAGAGTAAATACATATCAAGCAAGGATAACTTCATGAGTTGTATTTGGTTCATTTAACTAGTCATAACATCCTACATGAAAAAATGTATTGCAGTACAGATACTACAACCCTATGAACCAACAAAATGTGAGTAAAGCTGTGCAATAAATGTAAAGATGATGAACTCAGTGAGAATATGATTCAGGATTAAGACTGTGCAAGTCTTAGGAACCTTTGAGTTTATCAACATTACTTTTGTATCTTTTCTAAAATTACACTGTAAGCTCTTCAGAGAATGGACTATGCCTCCTCATTTGATCTGTAAGGTGCTTAACATACTTTTAGGTGTTAGATAGATGGAAAATAATCATATATTTTACAAACTTCATTAAGATCTCAGAACTGAGACCTTATTTTAGAGTTCTGCTATGAAATCTTTGCTGAGAAATGGAGAATGATCAAGAATGTTTTATGCAAATTAAATGATGTATCATTTAGCAAGTTTTTCACTCTATGTCAAAACTGAGTTCTCAGCTCAATTAGTATCTTTCATACATGCTGATATCACTTCTTTAATCCTCTCTTGACTGTACTTTAGCAATAATCTTATTTTCAGCTGTCAGTGTTGTCTATATTTTGGCATTTGAAAGCTAATACCCAATTATCAATTGGTAAGATTTTGAAAAGTGTTTAGAATTGACCTACTCTGTGTTTATTAAGAACAATGATAAAACTCTCACTAATTTAACCAGAATGACAGTTAAGCTAATATTGAAGGACTTTTTAAATCCCATCCGGTTTGCATATGTACAAAAGGAAGCTCAAATTGATGCAAAGAGACCCGAGTTTCAGGTCTTCAATAACATGGTGCTTACCCAAATCTTCATCTAGTTTGGTCTTTGGTGGCTCCCATGGTGGCCTGGCTGCTTTGGCTTTTGCCTGTCGCTTTCCTAACTCCTCCTCAAACCTTTCATACAAATCTCGGAGTTTGCTTGTTCCAACCACAGTGGAGTCCCCCTAACAAATACACAAATGTGTTAGCAAATTACACAAATTAAACAAACTCTGAAATATCAGTATCCTAAAACATTAGCGTGGGGTTTAAAAAGAAAGAAATAAAAAGAGGCAGTTCTACAAGGCACAGAGAATTATTTTTATAAAGCAACTGGTGCACATCTACAAGGCATCCTTTTGCCTGCTGAATATGCTAGAAGATAACAAGAGTGCAGTAGTAAATGGAGTTATCTGGTTGAAATTCTAGGCAGATTATTCTGTGGTTAAGCGTATACCAGGAAGGCTGCACATGTTCATCATTGGTAGATATGCAGGAGTGGTTTTTTACTTCTCGTACAGAACTCCTCTGGTGCCTTCCACGGATTGTGAGACAGATTTGTTCAGAAGCATGTATAACAGAAAAGTACCTTTCTGCAAGCTGCATTATCCTTTCTCCTCTATAGATAGCCAAAACAAACACCAAAAAACCAAGAGAATGTGGTGAAGAAGAAAGAACTACACTGCCAAAATGCAAGTAACTGATGAATGATGAGGATGAGACCAGAAAAGAAAGTAGCATTAAGCACTAGACGAGACTAAAATGTAAAGCTGATAAATGTCTTAATTGCTATACACAGTAATCTAGGGATTCCCTCAGACATACCACTTGATCCATCGGGTCACTTGAATAGTAGTTTTCTGAATGGGTACAACGAACCCAGACAGGCTTGAGCAATTCATCATCTTCCTCCTCATTTTTTTCTGAAATATTTTCCTCTGGTTCTTTGTCTTTGATACTGGTGTAACTCTTCTCTTTACTAGCACTCTGGCTTTCTGACCACCTCTCTCTGTCCTCCTCCCAACGAGGTCTCTTTCTCTCTCGGCTGGGGGATCGGCTTCAGGGGAAGAAAGCAAAGAGAAGCAACTTTCAGTTTTGTTGCTCTTTTAATACTGAACATAACATAAAATCAAAGCCTGCCTGCAAAATAATAAGAGCTCTGCCATGGGAATTACAGGAGATTGCATGCAGTATATCCTGATTTTAACTCTCAGACCTTTCAGTACAAACCAAATACAAGGAGTCGCTTGACAGTAACTCAGAGATTTGAGTTTGAAAGCCCTTGTCCTTAAGCCCTAATTTTGATCATTTTCTAACTCTCTAAGGCATTTTTTTATCCCAAAATACTTACTCTAACACCAAATGATGTTTTCTTTTTACTTTGCTTGAAAGATTTTAAAGCAAATCAACTAAATTCTGAAAAATTACGAAATTTTACTCAATCCCTAAAATTCATTTTATGAAGACAAGGGAGAACAAAATAGCCATTTTTATCTAAAGCATTTAACATAGTCACATTGCTCATGTTGATACACCTTTTACACCACTTTCCACTGCCATGCATTCTTTATGTATTACAAAAGAGCTTTCTTAGTTATATGTTAGGAAGTTTCACAGATTTACTGGGATTATTTTCTTGCGTTCCTCCACCGCAACATCTTCTAACTTACAATGACTCCTACTTAATAGGGCTCACAGGAGTCACAAAGATCTTGAGAAAGGCCTAAAACCGTTCTGATGCATATAATGATGTCTTGTTTTTAAATTCTGTGAACGTAATACCTTACATACTAGAAGCAAATGCTAGGCAAGCTCAATGGTATAAAGCTCCTGTTTCTAGCACCATGGGGTTCAAGAACTCAAATTTTAAAGTTAGAACCTTTCCATACCTAGCGAAACTGTTATCAGCTCAGGGTTGAATTCTGTATTTTCATAACCAAAGGCAGATGAGCTAAAACAGTATTTCTCTCCCCCTTTCCACCATCTCCCCCCGCCCACACGCGTGCACAGTATGATAAGATTTTCCACATCAAATAAATGTTCCATCCTACCTCCCTGTTCTTTTATAATCTTTCTTGTAGGACCTCTCTGGAGATGGTGATCTTCGGCTATCCCGATGCCTATGCCTTTCCCTTTCCCGTTCCCTTTGAGAGTTCAAAATAAATAGGTTAAACAAAAAACCTTAACTTTTGTAAATACTGTTCCTGATAAAAGCAAAGAACAAATCTTAAATAGTTTATCAGTAATGGACTAAATGGCATGTTCCAACCATTAGATTTTAAGGAACCTAGAAGCCTTCTGGTGATGGTCCATTCCTCAAGAAATCTGACAGATCATCTCCTACTTCCCCCGCTTTCATCATCCATCTTAATACCACGTTAATTTACACCAAGCAAAGACAGCCTCCATAGCTCACCCATTCTACCTGCCATTTCATGTTAGAAAAGGCAGAGGGTTTACTCAAATAAATCCAGCCACTACCATTCTCATTCATTTGGGGACTGAGAAAAAAAACCCAACCTATTCCATGCACATTAACTTCAGGATTGCAGCAATAAGTCAAGTCAAACATCTCATACAAGACCTCAGAACCTGACAGTCACTTCAGAAGTGCATACAAGGAAATTAAAACGTCCAATAAATAAAAAGAGAAATGTTCCACCACCTAATAACTACTTACACAAGAATAAATGTACATGTATGTGGAACTTTAGGAAGTTTCTATATTCATCTACAGTTACTCCTTGCTTAACGTCATAGTTATGTTCTTGAAAAACACGACTTCAAGCTAAATGATGTTAGGTTCATGGGTTCATAGATGCTCAGGTCAGAAAAGACCTCAACAGATCATCAAGTCCAACCCCCTGCCCTGGGCAGGAAAGAGATACAGTTTTCTTCTACCAAGCAAGAAAATATCAGATGACCCCAGCCAGATGCCTATACAGCCTTCTGTTAAAAACCCCCAAGGGAGGGGAGAGCAACACCTCCCTTGGAAGCCCATTCCAAATCTTGAACACCCTTACCATGAAGAAGTTTTTCCTGATATCTAGCCTAAATCTGTTCTCCGTCAGTTTGTGACCATCGTTCCTTGTTACCCCAAGAGGCACCCTGGTGAACAGAGCATCTCTGATTCCTTCCTGCGCCTGCCTAATGAATTTTTAGGCAACCACAAGATCACCCTCTCAGACTTCTCTTCCGGAGGCTGAAGACGTCCAGATCCCTTAGTCTCTTCTCATAGGGCTGGGCCTGCAAACCCTTAACCATACAAGTGACCCTCCTTTGGACCCTCTTGAGGTTATCCACATCCTTCTTAGAGTACGGCGCCCAAAACTGGACACAGTACTCCAACTTAAGCGAATCCAATTATGTTACCTACTACCAGGCTGCGGCCAAACAGCGTTATAACCGGACATTATGTGACTTTAAATGAGTATGTTCTCTAATAGGTCAGTGATGTAATAAGGAAACAACATTAACCAGGATGACGTTAAGTGAGGACTACCTGCACATCTGCTGCCACTACTCAGTCACCAGAGCCCACACAATCTTCTCCTCATTCATACTGCTTTACGTTGAATCCTATCCTAACCCCTCTTGAGTTTATGGCCAGACTCTTTTACTACGTGTGCACACAGAAGACCACTCTAGGAGTCCCACTGAAGTAAATGTGTCTTCCTGCAGAGACTCGCCAGCATTAACGAGGCTTCCAGTGGGAGCAGGGAGTAGCACAAACAGTTTTTTCTGCTAATCCTCAGAACATGGACCATCTCATCTGGTAATGCCAGGTGGGTCCATTCAGCAGCTATGCCAGTGAACTAAGTATACTTTGGAAAGACATGAGCTGTTGGGGACCATAGTAGCTGGCACAAATGAGCGTCTACATGTAATTTCTGCCAGCTGCCAGAAGTCTTGCTCTGTTCAAGAGAGGTATCTTAACTCTGCTTCAGAGAAAGTTTTAGGAAAAAACTCCAAATTATTCCTAGAGAACTGAATTTCTACTGGCACAACTGTGTAGCGTACACAAGGCCATCAATACCACTTGCTGTGTTTCATATTTAGAAGCCTCTTTATTCATGAACATAATCACTCCCACATTTACCACAGGTATTACATTTGACTGATACTTTAAAGTGAGGCAATTCCCTTGCACAAGTACTTGTTAAAAGAAACATGCATGCACTTCATGTAAAAAGCAAACATGTTAGATCCACAGTGGTAGGAAGCACCCTCTGAAACTATTTTTGAGACATACAATTTTCATGAATATTTCTCAGACCCTTCTCAGCCTTCAGTCTGGCAATTCCAACACTGAAATTAGCATCATACAATTTATTACTAAGCCACAGTATATACAAAAACATCTTGGTCCAATTCTTAAGAGAGACCACAGACTTAAAAATGCCTAAAGATTTGGGGGCTTATGTTCAATTTCCAGGGCCTGAAAACTAAATCCCTTCATTTGTATACAAGAGGCTAAACTTGTTTGGCTAAACTTCAAAAAAATAAAACCAAGGGATTCCACATTTGTTAACGCTCAATAATTTCCAGATCATACATACTCTATTTATGAATAAGATAATATTTATTTCTAATCGCGACTACAATTTCAACTGCGGTTCTTTCTTTCTTTCTTTCATCACTAGTAAAAACAGATTTTGCAAGCCCAATTTGCTGTAAATATGTGTAAGCCCAATTGTCTCCACTTTACCTCATTGATGTCTCTCAGATTGTTAGTAAATAATCACGTTCATACATAAGAAAGAAAAGGAAGATGTCTACAACCATAACCAGTAGAAAATGAAATATGCTTAGCCAAACAAAAGAAAACATCTTGTTTGCTTCTCCTGTTCCATACACCAACTCTTTCTTTTCACTTTCTTCCTGGGTATCTATTGTCTACATTTCCTCATAGGGGGCATGCCTATATGTGCAATTAATGTGGAAAAATAAACTTTGGAGCTTATTGCTCTGGAGTTTTTTGCTCTTGTATACACCATTTGCCTCAGTGCGGGAACTGTCTGCTGGCTAGCCCAGTGCTGAGGCACACTGTGCCCTTGTCAGCTGGGGCAGCATCTACACATGCATTGCTGCGCACAAAAAAACTCCATAGCAGCACTATCCTGATGTGGAATGTATTAGTTTCATGCACCCTGATAGGGGCACACGTGTAGGTGCCAAAGCATTCACTGCACAGGTAATTAGTCAACTGTGCAGTAAACACCTCATGTAGATGCACCCAGAGAGTGACAAACTTGTACAGTCCAATCTGTATGAGACACATGCAGAAGGGAGACAGATACAAACAAAAGAATGAAAACATGCCATATATAATATAGTCCCTGAACATGCAAGAAAGCTGAATCTCAGTAAAAATACATCCAGGAATGCATGAACAAAAAGCTGCCATTGTCAAAATTATTTTTTTAGAGAAAAGTTGAACTTGACAATTCCAAGTTCATGTTTTAGAATTATCTAGCAAATATAAGCGTGTGTGTATGTGTATATAACTACACAGATACATATACCGTATTTACTTATAGTATATTTATTAATATTATTTATTTATATGGAATACAGCAACCAAATGACAAAACAAACTATAAACAACCTATAGAAAATGGCGCTGAGAGAGAAGGTTAGAGTCAGTGTTAGATTTGATAACCATTGCAAAGCACTGTCAGTAGAAGCAGGTCTTCAACACAACCATTAAAATGATAAAAAGGACTCTACTCTTCCCTGATGTATGCTATAGTTTGGATTTCACCACATTCACACTTGGGGTCTTCAATAAAATTACATTTGTGTAGTAGATAGTTGCATCTACCTGGTCCAATATGAACCCTGTTCAACGCTGTCCAGCTTCCCCTTCAGAAAGCAAAGCCAGGGGGTTTAGCTGTGGGATCCGTGATGAGAAATGTATAAACAATGTCATCATCAATTATGTTCCTTTACTTGGAAAACAAGATTTCTTCCCCCTTTTCAACATGGTGGGGGGAAAGCCCTTTATCTTGGATTCAAGTACAAGGCAGGGGCACAGGCAGTGGCTGCAACTCCAGCTGTGGCTCCAGATCTGGCTCTAGATCTGGTCTCAACCTGGGTTCAGGATTGAAGTTGGAGATGCAGCTGCTGACAGGGGGCAAGTGACAGGTGGGAAGACAAGTGGCAGAGGACAAGGTGCAGGGAGGCACAAGCACTGTGGGTGGGGAAACAGGCACCAGGGGGTCATAAGCACTAATGGGGATGTGCTAGGGGGCACAGGCACTGAAGGGTAGGCACCAGGGGATCAGGAGGCAGGTAGAAACAGGTAAGCAGGTACAGGGGAGTGGGGGAAGGGGAGCAGGTACTGATAGTTGCAGGCACTGGGTGGAGGGCAGGCATCAGGGAGCACAGGTACTGAGGGGGCAGCAGGAGGTAGGGGGACAGGCAGCATGGGTCAAACCACTTGACTCCCCTGCCGCCCTTTTGCTGCTGCTTCCCCACTACTGCAGTGGCAGGGGTCAAATTTAAAAAAATGCTTCAACAACTAAATTCTATACATGGAAACTTATACATTTTCCAAGTATAGATTCTAATTATTGGAGAGTCATCTCAAATTTGAAGTTATTTTGGATTGAAGTAAATACAGTATATATTGATAAATGCAAATAAATATGATTTATGCATCTTAATTATAATTAGCTTTCTGCGATCCTATAGTTTAAATGTTAAAATGCAATATTGTTTAAATAACTCATTTCCTCCTCTTAAGTGTGTCAATAAAATAAAGTTGTCTCAACAAGTGTATAATTACAGAAAAGGGTTAAACTCCTTCAGAACAAAATCTCAAATTTGGAAATACAGATGCCTAAAGTTAGGTATGCCCCTAAATGAAGGTAGCTTGGTTTGCAGAGGAACTCAGTGTATACAGCTCCTATTAAATTCAGTGGAACTGTGGGCACTTAGTACTTCTGGAAGAACAATCAAGCTCTAATATTTATGTGCCTAAATATGGATGTAAATGCCTAGTATTAGGCATTTACTGCATTAACTCAATTCTAAGAGGAGGTTTTCTCCCCGTTCAACATGGGGAAAACAAAGCCACATCTTAGAACCTATTATCAAGTGAAAATACAGTCGGAACACATGGCAGAAATCTACTCAGCAAGGCATACTGCAAGGGACCCAGCACCGGGGCACCCAGCAGCGTGGGGCACGATGCAGGGTAGCACTCAGGGCAGCAAAGGACCTGGTGTGGAAGCACTGAATCTGGTGCAGAGGCATGAGACCTGGCATGGTGGCATACAGCAGCACAGGACCCAGTGTGGGGGAGGACACAATGTGGGGACACCCAGCAGTATAGCACACTGTGGTAAAGGTGCCAGGTGGTGCTGGGGGGAGAAGAAAAGGGACTGGAGGTAGACAGGGTGGCAGGCACTTGTGGGGGAATGGCTGGGGGAAGGCACTTGGGGAGGGGTAAGTGGCAGGGTTTACACCACCTGTCCTGCAACACTTGCCTCCCCACCACCCATTCCCTTTCTGCCACTTGCCCCCAATGCTGTTTCTCCTGCCACCATGGGTGGGGAGGAGGAAAGAATTTAAGACAACCCTCCAATAATTAGATTATAGACATGGAAAATTATAATAATTTGTTATAATTTTCCATGTCTAGAATCTAATCTGGACAGGTTATAGGGGTGGGTGAATGAGAATAGGATGGGATTCAATACTGACAAGTGCAGGGTACTACACTTGGGCAGTAAGAACCAGCAGCAAACCTACAGGCTGGGGAACTCCCTTCTCAAAAGCACAGTGGCAGAAAGAGATCTTGGAGTCATTATCGATTCCAAAATGAACATGGGCTGCCAATGTGAGGATGCGGTCAGGAAGGCTAACCGCACCTTGTCATGCATCCACAGACGCATCACAAGCAGGGCCAAGGAGGTGCTCCTCGTTACATCTCAGCTCTGTATTCTTGGGGAACCCTGGTACAGGATGCAGTCTGTCTGACTCACAAAGGACTCACCCCCCCCCTCCCTCCCCTCCTCTACCTAAATGAAACTGATTAAGATGCAGTGAGAGACACACCTAAGACCCTCACCAGATAAGGGTGACAAGAGTGAATCAACTGCCCTAGGTCTCATTTACATGAGAGATGGAAAACAGAAAGCCTGAAGCAAAGGCTGCAGTGAATTCTGGGACCAGAGAAGCAGGAGAGCGCTGCATGATGGGGAATCTGTGCTTCCAATGTTAATCAACCCATGTTCACACACACCCAGCTCAGCATTTATCAGACCAGTTCTAATCTGGATTTACTAAGGACTTTTCCCCCCCAGACACACACACACAGCTCTAAGTTTAATAGGCATCTCGGGCCGTACATTCCCCGGTCCCACTATGGGAGGCCTATTTAAACTTGATTGACTAAAACTCGGTTGCCGGGTTAGGGAATGCTGAGGCAAGAGACCGAGTCAGAGGGGGTATGGGCAACATTTGAACAATGGTTAAGGGTTCATCACAGCATCCAGCCTGCTGGAGCCCTAATCCCAGGTGTTGTCATATCTTTCCCGAGACGACTGGTGGGAGTCCTCTCCACAAAAGGTTATGAGCACCCCAATAATTGTTTTAAGTCTGTTAAAAGACTATAGTAAGATCTGGAAAAGTCATGCTAAGCTGAGGCTTGTGCACAACAAGTAAAAATCCAAAATCCTGATGCTGCAAGCTATCTATTGTTCCTGAAGAAACCATGAGATATCCCATCAGTATATCTGCCACCCATAGGAATTTCAAGCTGGCTCCCAAGTATTTGGGTTACTCCCTAATCTTAAGTGTTTCCTGATTATCAATCAGTTTCCTGAGATGGTCCAAACCAGATAACCCCTTGTCAATAGAAAAGACAATGATTTACACTACTGAGGGTGCTTCGAAGCAGCTGAACTGAGGGTATAAAAATCTGTAAGTGTGTGTGCTGCTAGAAGAGAGAAGAGGAAGAGGAAAAGGAAGGAAAAGAAGTATAAGCAGGAGGAAAGAAGGAGAAGAAGAAAACCCCTGTGCTGACACCATCCCCTGTCGTTCTTGGGACGTTCCCTGTCGTTCTTGAGACAGATCGTCTCTCTCTTCAAGGATTGTGCTACGGACTGTGCCTGTCAGCTTTGCAGCCTGAGTACCGTGGACTAGGTGAGATCCCAGCGTTCTCTGTCTTCTTTCTAGGCATAAACTTCTGAACCTGAACTGTATCAGTTAAGCTTGAGCTAAGTTTCCCCAAATACTTAGTGAAACCAGGGTAGTATTGTCATTGTTGGTGTTTGTTTTTCTTTTGCATGTCTATTACTACTAGTACTATTATATATTTCATATGCTTAGCAATAAATAACTTTTATAGTCAAACTGGTAGTAATTGGGTATATTTTTCCTTCTCTGCTTCTCTTTCCTCCCGTGCTCTGCAGCAACGCTTCTTTTACCTATGCTAAAGATCCCTGTGAAGCCCAAATTATTGTGGGGTCTGCTCATCAAGAGGCCAAAGATTGGGACGTGCTGAGTTTGAAACACATAAGGGGATCAGCTTGTATAGGCTGATTGACCCAGTTTGACTCAGACGTGCCCTTATGAACTGAATGCTGGCCCATGAGGGTGTCAGCTGGACACCCAGTTGGATTCAGAGGGATTCTGTTTACCTGTGTGCTTGTGTCTGACTGCATTTTATTGTTGCTCTTATGAACTGATTCTTGGCATATGAGGGTGTCAGCCTGTCCATGCTGATCAGCCCGGCCAGGTCAGGCGTGTCACGTTAATTTGTGTGTGTTTGTGTGTATGACTGATTTGGTGACTGGAGGAACCCAGCCCATTGAGATCGAGTCCTGCAAGATAGCTCCACTGGGGGTGAGGGTTTGCAGAAGGGAGAAATACAGCTCCGTATAGTAACACAAGCAGCACATTGACAGAATCACCAAGACCCTAGAAACTATCCCTAATAAACGAGCACACCCCAAAGTAATGGGCAAATTTGGTAACATCTTCCCCCCTCTATGTGACACTGGTCAGGCTGCAGTTGGAGTACTGTGTCCAGTTCTGGGCACTGCACTTTAGGAGGGATGTGGCCAGCATTGAGAGGGTCCAGAGGAGGGCCACTAGCATGATCTGGGGACAGCAGGGCAGACCCTACAAGAGGCTATGGGACCTGAACCTGTCCAGCCTTCACAAGAGAAGGCTGAGAGGGGACCTGGTAGCCGTCTATAAACTTACCAGGGGAGACCAGAGAGTAATGGGTGAGACCCTGTTCCCCCGAGCACCTCCCAGAGTAACAAGGAATAATGGCCACAAGTTGATTGAGAGTAGGTTCAGGCTAGACATCAGGAGGCACTACTTCAGTCAGGGCGGCCAGGATCTGGAACCAGCTTCGAAGGGAAGTGGCGCTGGCTCCTACCTTAGGGGTTTTTAAAAGGAGGCTTGATAATTACCTAGCTGGGGCCATATGAGCTTAAATTTACCAGGGGTCATAAAAGCCCAGTATTAATTCCTGCCCAGGGCAGGGGGTCAAACTTGATGATCTGCTCAGGTCCCTTCCGACCCTACATCTATGAACCTATGAAATTTGAGGTGGTCTTGGATTCAGTTAAATATGGTACCTTGGCAAATCTTGACCAAGGGCTTTAGCCTAAAAAAATGACACCAAGTAAAAACAGAACTGTCACGATACCACAAAGGCAAACTCTTCTCCCCACTGACATGCGTTTATGGCAAATTCCATTTCACTCCTTCCTGCACTTAAGGCCAGACCCTGCATGAGTGCCTAAAACCCACTAGGAATCCCACTTATGTACATGTGTCTCCCCGCAGAGTGGGCAGCACATGCAGCTTTTGTTAATTCTTGGGGCAGAGACTGTGACATCACATGGAGTGAAAACCACCTGGCCTAATGTTGATCATATATTTATAAATTAGTAATAACTAACAATGCCTCCCCACTCAAGGTGGAAATTCTCTTGCAGCATGGGTCTTTCTTATACTCACAGACACAACAATTTACCTGCTACGTTCATAACTTCTGTGGCGAGGTGGCGTCCTTCCCCTGTCATAATCAGGCCTATGCCGACTGCTTTCTTGTCTTCGCCGATCAGGACTCCTGCCTCGATCCCGCCGATCCCCGTGGTTGTTGGACCGATGTCTGTCTCCATGGACATGCCCATGTTCCCGGTGCCGGTGCTCATCATAGTGCTTACTCCTTTCTGGGGACCTTCGTTCACTCTGGGATTTATCTCCCTGGTACTGACTTGTGTGCCGGAAATGGCTGCTACCACTACTGCTGCTATTGTTGCTGCTACTGCTCTGGAAAGTGTTAGAGTTATGTTGATAGCTATTAAAGTTAGGAGGTGGGAAGGACTGCTGCGAGTAGCCTGTAGAGTAGACGGGTTGATAATTAACTTGTTGTGGCATGACCGGTGGTGGTGGAGGATGTGGCACTGCAGGAGGTGGCATCAGGTAAGGAAATGCATTTTGTCCAGTGGGGGCTCCAGGCACTGGGGCATTGCTGGGATTTGGCACTGGCGGAGGAGCAGGAGGAAAACAAGGAGGGACTGGAAAACTTTGCCTCACTTGATGGTTTGGAAAAGGTGGCCTCATGGGACACTGGCTGATTGGACTCTGTGCTGATGGGGGCACTGGGGGAGGATAAGGTACAAAATCCAACCTAGGAGGCATGTATCCTGTGGTTGGAGGGTTAGAATAGGTAGTTGGAGGGGTGGCTTGCTGGTCATATTGATACTGCACTGAAGGCTGCTGAGGGTGAAGCTGCCGCAGGTTCTGAGGTCTGAAGGTTTGTGTTGAATTTCTAACTCCAGGTCCTCCTTGGCCCCGGGGACATCCTCGTCCAGAATGGAAAGACATGGCTCATCTTCAATGGAAAAGATGACAAGATAAGATGTACAATGCCACAAGTGCACCACAGAAGATTAGTTAGTTGCTCAGATTAGTTAAGGCTCAGTTTGAAAAAAGATATCATCTTCAATGTCAAGCTTTAGTCCCAAATGAAATATCAAGCCCTGTTTTGCTACTTTCACCTGGTTATAAGCTTAACGGCAAAACAATATATAAAAGATATTTATAACCTGTGATAGATTTGGAAATTAACTAACTGGCATGGAGGTGCAGAAATGATACCTAAATAGAAACTGGTTATTTTGCTCATTGCTATTTCCCTTATAGCCCCTTGTTAAAAATTGAGAAAAAGAAGGGAAATCTGTTGAACTATTTAAAGCATTAAGTATTTAAGTACAGGTTCATTTTACCAATAGCCCTTATTAACCTTAGATGCAGTGGGGTTTTTTTTATTATTTTATTAGAAAACATCCTCTTTGACAGACTTTTAGATGGTAATAATAACACATCCTTTTGTGGAAAAAATAACTAAGATAGGTTGGAGCTGTTGTTATTGCAGAAGTTCAATCCTGCTTCTTTGAGGATGAGATAAGACAAAGCACATACAAGAGGGAAAGAATAGTGGAGATGGAGAGCATAGAAGTGCCAGAGACAGAAGTTATTTTCTTGCAAGCATTGCCGTTGGAGAAACATGGGCACAGAGCAAGCTCCTATCAGCTACACCAAGAAATGGCACTAGGCACTGCTTTTGACTACCTATTTGGCCATAGGCTCATGGCATCACAACAAAAGACACAACATTGGCCACCTAATCCATACTGTTATTAATTGCAAAGCAAATGGAGGAAGATGAGGAACTGAAGAAACATGGGGAACAAAGAGGACAAATGAAAGGGAGAGGGTGACAGCAGGGACTCAAATATCACATTCTGAGTGCTCTTTAGGACTTTACAGTCTCTAGTGGCGTTGGTGCATCATTGGCTCTCTCGCTAGTCTAGTCTGGTCAGAATACCTTTCTGCATCAAGACAACATAGGCCTAACTGAGTCACAGTATCTCAGAGAACATAGCAATGGCAGCTATGATCTAGTCTGTACATACCCAACAGTGTGATTCACCTCAAATTCTTTCTTGAAAGATGCTGAAAAGCAGCAATGGACAAAATAGCCAATTCCTACTCAGGTGTAATTTTTGCAAATTGATACCAGTCCACTAATTTCCAAATCTATTCCTCTACATCAGTGGATCCCGATCGACTAATCAATCGTGGAGCCTCTGACAGTCTATCTCAGTCTTGGGGCAGGGGCTGAAATTGACTATCAGAGGCTCCATGATTGGGAGCGGCGGGATGCACGTGCGGAGCGTCCGGGACACAGTCCAGGAGCGTTGGGACGCATGTGTCTGGGCTGAGCTGTCCCCCTGCCACTGGGGCTGGGCCGGGTGAGTGGGGCGATCCCCCTCCGCACCCTGCCATCCTATGGTGAGGGAGGGAGTGGGACAGAGGCAGGGATGAGTGGGGTCTTGGCTGGGCTGGGGTAGGGTCAGAGCCAAGGTGGCTCGTCCAAGGGGGCGGGAGAGGGCTCCCGCGCTGCATGCACCCTGGCAGAGGCCCAGGGGCCACGTGCCTTCCCCATCTGTGCATGGGGCACAGACGGCTGCTGCTGCACACTGGAATTTATACCCTGAGCCCCCCCCCGTGCACCTGGATGAGCCACTCGGGCTCTGACCCTCCCCCAGCCTGGCCCGGCCTGGCCAGGGCCCCACTCACCTGTTGGCAGGGGGCGCCAGGGGCATTGGCGGCAGAAGTGGGGGGCCAACAGGGCTTAGCCCCCCCCCACGTGCGGCAGCAGTAGGGCCACGGGCTTCCGGAGGTGGCTGCAGCAGGGTTGCAGAGGGGGGGGCACACAGCGGGGCGGGGGGGGGAGGGGGGGAAAAGGAGATGAGAAGAGAAATGAAGCATGGGCTGGCACTGCGCAGCAGGGGTGGGAGCAGGATGGAGCCGCAAGCGCCTTGTCTGGGAGGTGAGGGGAAGGCGGGGACATGCAACAGTATAGTAATCTGAGCAACACCTCCACTTTCACTCCATCTGCCCAGCAGAAGCAGCGTTATCTCTAACCCTTAGGACAGAGTAGAAAAGTTGCAGAACATGATGGCAAGAAGCCAAGAAACAGTTGGTTTCAGAGATATGGCAGAACTGTGGTAAACAGTGCATCACACTTAGGCCTTGTCTACACTTAACAGTTTTATCAGGTTAGTTATTTCAAACAGGGGTATTATTTCTATTACAACCAAAATAATTATACATCATAAAGGCTATCACCCTTACCAGACCCGGTTAGACAAAGCCTTGGCTGGGATAATTTGTTGGGGACAGTCCTGCTTTGAGTAGGGGCTTGGCCTACATCAGCGTTGTTCAACCTGTGGGTTGCGATCCAAAAGTGGGTTGCAAGAATATATGAAAGGGTCACAAACAAGCTTTAAAAAATGGATCAACAAACTTTAAAAATGGGTTCGCCTTTAAAGGATAAAAATGTGGCAAACCGCAGGTTTCCCCTTGCAGGCTGGCAGAGTTTCCGGCTGCAAGGGGGTGCTTGGGACTAGGGGGGAGCGGGAGGAGGGAGATCAGGCAGAGGGTGCCACGCATACACGCATACACGCACGCACACACACACCAGCCAGGCAGCATGGACAGCAGCTCCTGCAGCTCCCCGCAGGCAAGTCTATGGGCCAGAGAGGTGAGGAGCGGGGGCAAAGATGATGCATCAGGAAGACAGGGGACACAAGTAACACTACCTGCCACCCCACCTCCTCTCCAGGGTATAACCATGGCTTGAAAAGAGAAGTGGTGCCACCTGGGCTATGGCGGTAGGGTAGAGGTTTTACAAATGGGTCCTGGCAGTGTCGGCAGCACCTTTTCATAGGGAGTATGCGTTGCCAATGCCCCTGAGGTCCTTCCCACCCTTAGCTTCTATGGCCGCCTCCAGATGAGCATGGACATTTGGTTCCCCAGGGACAAGAAGCAGTGGCACACCTTGTACTGTGGCTACTTGTCCCCAGGGAACGCCTGTGCCACCTGCCCACTGGCGAGCAGCAGGTTACCCTGAGTGGCATAGGGGAGTCTGGTGCCAGCAACTGTGCTGCCCCCAGCAGCCTTACCTGGGGTCCTGGGCGCTCCTGCAGCTTGGAGCCTAGCTAGCCAGGCTCTGGCTTTGGTGGCGTGTGCTACCACCACATGTGCCTCCCTGCTTTTTTTCTGCGTGGGGTTTTTTGACCCTAGGATCTCCCGGGGTCAAAAAGCACCCCCCGCACTGCAAGGTAACAATGTGGGAAATATCTAAATGTGAGGTGTGTGGCATGGCAGACGGGTCTGCAGCGCCTTGTCCCATCCCTCCGCGCTCATCTGGATGCGGCCTACGATTCTATACATATAACCGCGGCCACGCCAGAGAGGAACGTACAACTTCGGCTCTAATTAAATTACCCCCAGGATTTAGGGTGGGAACAACTGCACAGTAGAGAGGAGGCCCCAGACCCAAAGGAAACAGAGCTCGTGGCTGGAAGAGGAGCTCAGCTCAGCTTCCTAACAAGCTCGGGGGAAACACTCAGCTCTTGAAGCCGGGCTCCGCCTGTGCCCCGCAGCCCCGGGCGAGGCCCACGGAGCTATTTGAGCTCTGGGGCCGCTGATGATCCAAGCCAAACCGGCCACGAGAAGCTGGGATCCCGGAGCAAACCAAGCAGCTGGGATCGGGGGAAGGGAGGAGAACGGAGAGCAAAGGTAAAAAGTCCCCGCTCCCCAGTCCGGCGCCCTCCACCCCCCGCGAGAGAAGATCGCATTGTCCATCCTACCCGGAGTCTCCCCCAAGCCTCGAGAGTGAAAGCCCGCGCGCCCGGCGCCAATCAGCCCGGAGACAAGTGAGCGGAGCACCGGCTCCGGAACGGGAAACGGGAGGGAGGAGCGCAGGCAGCGGAAGTCTCCCCTCCCGTCGGCTTCGCGGGGCCGACTATGGGGCAGGGATCCCATCGCGGGGATCTCGCTAGCGGCCCTGGCTCGGCCCCCGTGGCAGGGGGCGCTCCTGCGTGATCGTGGCGGCTGCATAGCTTGGGAGCTGCTTGCCCCGGAACGCTGCGGTGTTCGGCGTTCGGGGAACTGGAGTTCGGAGCCGCGAACGTCGGCGCCAGCGGGGGCTCGGCCCAGTCGTGATGAGCGGCGCTGGGGCTCCGGGGCATCGGGGCCGCCTCCGGACGTACCCCGCGCTGCCTGTCTGGGTCGTGGAGGATCATCACGATGTAAGGGCATGGGGCTGCGGGAGAGGGGCCCCGGGCTGATGAGGTGAGCAGAGCTCCCTTCGGCGTCAGGGTGCTTCCAGCCTCCCAGGCCACTGGAGGAAGGGATCTTAGAGAAGAGGCAGGCGGTGTTGCCAGGGTGATGATAATTATCGTATTTGTATGATCATTTCCACCCTTCTACAACGTAGGATCACTAGGGTGTTCCAAATGTACGGTAGGTTTTGGGGCAGCTCATTGACACAAAACTTAAGTCACTCTCAGAGAGGCTTAGGTGACTAGGTTTGCTCAGGGGGGACTGGTGCCTCCTGAATCTGGGGGGACACAATTTGTGGGCAGGCCAAAACCCCCCATATCCACTCCTATACTTGTGCTGCGGCTTAGTGGCTCCCCCCACCCTACATACCGCTGGCCTGCACAGCAAAAAAACTGCCCCATCCTGGGCAGTGTCAAGTCAGAGGCCAATCTCGGGGCGGGGGAAGGGGGGATGTACCCCCTACCAGTGATCTGTGGGTTTGTTCGGTTGGTTGCTTTTAATATATTTCATATTCCAGGGCAATTTAGCCAAATCGGTTCCAAATCATAGCGTTTGAGCCAAACTTGATCATTACAAACACCATGTATGGTGCTACAGCCAGCAAGTATCCTTCACCCCAGACCCATTCCCCTGGGACTTCAGATGCCCACAAATCCATTAGCAGGCATCCTACGTGCCAGCCCAACCCTGGAAGTCTTGGAGCTTGGATGCCCCAAGAAAATACAGGCAAACATCCTCCATCCCAAACTTTAGTTTTGGACTTAAGATATTCCCTACA